GGAGTGTTAGTACCGCTCTATAAGGCCTTGGTAATAAGGCCACACTTGGAATCCGGCATCCAGTTTTGGTCGCCACCATGTAGAAAAGATGTGGAGACTCTAGAAAGAGCGCAGAGAAGAGCAACAAAGAGGATTAGGGGTCTGGAGGCTAAAACATATGAAGAACGGTTCCAGGAACTGGGTATGTCAAGTTTAATGAAAAGAAGGACTAGGGGAGACATGATAGCAGTGTTCCAATATTTGAGGGGCTTCTGCAAAGAAGAGGGGGGAGGAGTCAAACTAGGGGTGAAATCCATCAGGTTCTGACAGTTTCTGGAAAACTGGTCGTGGAAATCTTGAGTAGTTCGGAGAACCAGCACTTCTGGCTGGCCCCAGAGCAGGGTGGGAATAGAGATTTTGCAGTATCCTTCACCTGCCACACCCACCAAGCCATGCCCACCAAGCCATGCCCACAGAACCGGTAGTTAAAAATTTGAATTTCAGCACTGGGTCAAACTTATTTTCCAATAAAATAAGACAAGAAACAATAGTTGGAAACGAAGCCAGTGGTGGGATCCAAATTATTTTTTTACCACTGGTTCTGTGGGCATGGCTTGGTGGGCATGGCTGGGGAAGGATACTGCAAAATCTCCATTCCCTCCCGATCAGCTGGGACTCGGGAGGCAGAGAATAGATGGGGGCATGGCCAGCCAGAGGTGGTATTTACCGATTCTCCGAACAACTCAAAATTTCTGCTACCAGTTCTCCAGAATTGGTCAGAACCTGCTGAATACCACCTCTGGAACTAACTGAGGAAGGAAGGAAGCTAGAACTAAGGAGAAATTTCCTGGCGGTATGATTAATGAATCAGTGGAACGGTTTGCTTCCAGAAGTTATAGGTGCTCCATCATTAATGGCTTTCGAAAAGAGACCGGACAACCATTTGTCTGAAACCATATTGGGTCTCCTGCTTGAGAAAGGGATTGGGCTAAAAGATCTCCGAGGTCCCTTCCAGGTCTATTTTCCTGTGTTCTCCAATGCTGAGTCTATGGGTTCAGCTGGGGTATTTTTCGGACTATAAGATGCACCGGAGTATAAGACGCACCATGATTTTGAAGAGGTCAATTTTTAAAAAAAGTTTTTGCACTCTGCAGGCCTCCCAAACCTTCTGCATGTCCATTTTTGCAAAGCGGGGTGGGGTTTAGGTAGGCCAAAAATGCTGTATTCAGTGTATAAGACACACCCAGATTTTCACCCTCTTTTTTGGGGGGAAAGGTGCGTCTTATACTCCCAAAATACGGTATGTTCTATAGGACTAACTAGGTTGTGTTTGAGTAGCTTTGGGATCTCTGGAGAGCCTTCTAGAACAGGGTGAGCCTCCCCTTTTGCAGGGGTAGATGGGCTACAGCAGAGGTGTCAAACTCAAGGCTCAGGGGCCAGATCCGGGCCGTGTGGTGCTTAGATCTAGCCCGCGGGGCCGCCCTGGAAACAGCAAAGGACTAGTCCGTGGTGCTTCTGCCAGTGAAAATGGAGCTCAGGAGGGCTGTGTGCGTTTTCACTGGCAAAGGATTGCAGGAGGCTTTCACAGCTGAAAACGGAGCTCACAAGGGCAACAGGTGGCCCTCCCGAGCTCCGTTTTCACTGGCAGAGGGATGCAGGAAGCTGACGCAGCTGAAAACAGAGCTCGCGAGGGCCACGGACAGCCCTTCCGAGCTCCATTTTTGCTGGCAGAGGGATGCAGGAGGCTGATGCAGCCAAAAATTGGTCACTCTGGCCGCCATAGGCGCCCCCGACATGAATGATGTCGAGCTGGCCATGCCCACCCCAGCCCCCTGAGGTCAAACATAACCCTGATGTGACCCTCAATGAAATCAAGTTTGACACCTCTGGCCTACAGTCAACTTCTGTTTCTCCCTCCAGGTTGGAGACCAGATGAAACTTCTGCAGAACTGCTGGAGCGAGCTGCTGGTGTTCGACCACATTTTCCGCCAAGTCCAGTATGGGAAAGAGCACAGCTTGGTGTTGGTGACAGGCCAGGAGGTACAAATGGGGAAACTGAGGCTCGGGATGGGTGGAGGGGGCAAAATAACCCCCATCTTAATGCATTTAATCCTCATTGAAACAGTAAAGTCACAATCTTGCCTGATTCTGCTTGACTCTCCCTCAGTGGTGGGATTCAGCCGGTTCGTACCATTTGGGGAGAACCAGTTGTTAAGTTTCTGAGCCGTTTGGTGAGCTGGCCGTTGGAGGAAATCATTAGGGCAGAGAACCGGTTGTTAAATGATTTGAATCCCACCACTGACCCCACTGCATCGCCAGGGAGGATGCCCATGTGGGCTCTGACCAGTAGTGGGCTTCAGCTCCCATTGCAACCAGTTTGCTGCAATGGGAGTCGGGCGTGCACCATGGGCACGAGTGCTGTGCACGCATACACCCCCACCACCTGCGATGCTCCAGCTGCTCGGCAGAGCATCTCCCAGCCGCGGTACACTGTGTGCGCATGTGCAGATGGCTGTTTCCTTCAAATACAGGTAAGGAACAAGGATGGGCGGGCAGCCCTCCAAAGCACCGTTCCGGTACGGTGGCTGCTGCTTCTTCCGGCAGGCACCAGTACATGCGTACCAGGGCATACCACCTGCAACCCACCATAGACGGGTTGAGGCCAGGTCCAGCAGTTTCCAGCCCAAACAGACTTGGGGGCCTCCTAGTTAAGGCTTGGCACCCTTTCATTCTGGAATGGCGGGGAAGCACAGGAGAAGAGGCAGGGGTGGGCTTCAAACATTTTAGCAAGGGGTTCTCTGCTCGGTTGCTGGCTGGGCGTGGCCAGGTGAGTATGGCCTAGTCAGCCTCCTACACTATGGCATAACTCTAACCCTAACCCTAACCCTTTTGTTGAGCCTCCGGGAGGGTGAAAATGACCTCCCCAGGCTCCGGAGGTCAGAAACGGGCTTCCGGCAGGCCCATGCTTTGCCCTCCCTGAGCCTCTCCGTGTGCCCTGCACTTACCTGCATGCAAAACAAGCCGCGTGGGGACTCTTGGGAGAGGCAGGGCGTGGCCAGCCAAGAGTGGGATTTGGGGGTTCTCCGAACCACACAGAATCTCAGCTAGAGGGTCTCCCGAACCCCTGCGAACCCACGGGAGCCCAGCCCTGGTAGAAGGCCCAGCATGGATGTCCTTTCTCTTCCCTTCTCCCCTCCCTCCAGGTGGACATGTCAACCATTGCCACGCAGGCGGGGTCTATCGTGAACAACTTGGTGCTGAGAGCTCAGGAACTGGTGCTGAACCTGCATTCTCTCCAAATAGACCGGCAGGAGTTCGTCTGCTTGAAATTTCTGATTCTCTTTAGCCTCGGTAAGTGGCAAGCTGAGCGAGGGGATGGAAGGGGACGGGACAGAGAGGGGAGGGCAGGCTGGGGACCCCATGATGGGAGTTGGAGTCCAACTGAAAAACATCTGCGGGACAGATATTCAGGAACCATGGGATGAGACTGCGGGGAGCAAGGTCCCTTAAGTCGTGTCCCACAACTGTCCATGGGCTGTTATGCGCCATGGTGGCGCAGTGGTCAGAGTGCAGTACTGCAGGCTACTTCTGCTAACTGCCGGCTGCCTGCAATTTGGCAGTTTGAATCTCACCAGGCTCAAGGTTGACTCAGCCTTCTGCCCTTCCGAGGTGGGTCAAAGGAGGACCCAGATTGTTGGGGGCAAGTGGCCGACTATAAACCACTTAGAGAGGGCTGTGAAGCACTGTGAAGCGGTATATAAGTCTAAGGGCTATTGCTATCTGGATGAAAAAGCCCCCTTCCCAAGATTTCAGCCCAGCTGCTCTTGATGTGTCCATCTCTCTACTCTGTGGCTCTGATAACAGACTCTTCCTAGATAAATTTTTGGGGAAGAGCTATCCAACTCAGCGATGGGTTTCACATGCGTTCGGCCTCAAAAACATGCCTAAATAGTATGACATAAAGTCAGGGCAGGTTAGGGTTAGGGTTTATCCTAACCCACCCATGATTTACCTGTGATTTCCACTATATCAGTTCAGTTGAACTCATCCGAACCAGCTGAATACCATCTCTGGTCCAACTTCTCCAATGCCAAAATCAAATTTCACTCCATTTGTAGACTTCATTCCACCTACATTGTTTCTGGTCCCAATGTTCTTCCCGGGACAGGAAGTGGGCGTACCTAGGACATCAGGAATCTCTTGGTGGATGAAGGAAAAGATCTCTGGGGCTGGATCTAGGCTCTCTTTTTTACTCCGTTGTGTAACCAACCTGCGATGGCTTGCTCAGCAAACTCTGGTTGGCTTGTTTCATTTCCTTCCCTGCCTGCCTGGGTGGGCTTGTCACCTACTGAGGTGGGGTCTGCCAGCCTAGAACCCACTTGCAAAGGGAGGGCCCAGCAACATCTCCAACTTCTGAAGGTAACTTATGGAAGGCCACCACCAGAATCCTAGCAAGCAGAACTCCGATGGAAAGGGACGCTCAGCCATCTCTTGTAGATGTTGTGTTGACATGAACATCTTCTAGATGTCCATGTCAACATCTCCTAGATCAGTGTTTCTCAACCTTGGCAACTTGAAGATGTCTGGACTTCAACTCCCAGAATTCCCCAGCCAGCGAATGCTGGCT